TCTTTTGTGTATTCCTAAGGTAGCATCGAACTACAGCTTTGTAACAAATCTTGCTTTCATGTCAGGTGAGTCTCTATTCCTAATTCTTGCATTTTATGGACATTGGATAACTTCTTTTATCTTTTTATCTATTTGAATTATTTGATTAGAGTAAGAACTTTCTACCTACTTAAATGAACTTTTTTTTTTTTTAAGATTTTATTTATTTATTTGATGGAGTGAGAGATCACAAGTAGGCAGAGAGGCAGGCAGAAGTTGGGTGGGGGAAGCAGGCTTCCTGCTGAGCAGAGAGCCTGATGCGGGGCTTGATCCCAGGATCCTGAGATCATGACCTGAGCCGAAGGCCGAGGCTTAACCCACTGAGCCACCCAGGTGCCCCTTAAATGAACTTTTTATTTGAATTATTTGATTGGAGTAAGAAATGAAGGCAAGTCAGCTGTTGTAGTTCATCCTTGAAATCTTGTGTTCAGCCACACAGATGCTATATCGGTTATATCTATAGCAGATGAAGTACTATTAAAATGTAAGCTTTTTGCCTAAAGAACAATTTTCACTTAGGTTTTAAGATACTAGGATTGTACATTATACATTAAGAGGCAATCCTAGCAAAGACTTCTGTAATCTTTATGTAAACAAGGAGCCAACTATCAAATGGCTGTCAAATGATGTAATAGACTCTCATTAATGGCAACAAAGGCATTCACATTCTTTCTGTGAAAGTCAAGCAAAATTTAATAAAAGTTTTATAGGACCTTCTAACATTACCAGACATTGTTCTTCTTCTTCTTTTTTTTTTTTTTTTTAAGATTTTATTTATTATTTGACAGAGAGAGAGATCACAAGCAGTCAGAGAGGCAGGCAGAGAGAGAGGAAGGGAAGCAGGCTCCCCGCTGAGCAGAGAGCCTGACGTGGAGCTTGATCCCTGGACCCTGGGATCACGACCGGAGCCAAAGGCGGAGGCTTCAACCCACTGAGCCACCCGGGCGCCCCCAGACATTGTTCTTTGTACCTAATAATAATGTGGACATGAGATTTTTTGCCAGTGACCCCAAGAGTCATAATTGTGAGAGTCTTTGTGAATTATGCATTGTAAATTTGTATATGTGGATGATGTTTACACGTTTATATTTTTTCCCAGCCTATGTAATATGGTTATGCAACCTTTGAGGCAGTTAGGCTTGAGGAGAGCATTCTTAGATGATTTGTCACTCAGTAACACAGCTATGCTGGGGCACTGTGAAATTTTATTTATTCTCTTATTGTAGAGGCCCAGAGCCAAATTCACATCTGTGTACTACTATGCAATACACTTTTTAACTAGCTTTTAAAAAGAATCTAGCCAGAGTTGCATCTGATTCACATCATATTTTCCACCCTGGTATTTTAATGCTTTGAAGTTCAGTAGTAGTAATGGTAGTAGTTGCAGCAGCCAACATCAATGCTCTTAAAACTTTCAATTCACCTAAGCTTCCCTTTATAGCCCATGGGCCCCCGTAACAGTACAATGATTTGGTTTTACAACTGTCCACAACAATTTACTGCTAGGTTAATGGGGATTCATGCCCAAGCATATGCAATCAGTGGGAACTGGGCCTGAAGCCAGATATTCTAGCTCTGTTCCTAGCAAGGGATAGGTCATTGTCATTCCTTCATATGTTCAGAAAATGTTTATAAAGCTCCTGTGATCTACAAGGTGCTCTTTTAGCCATTGGAGGTATATCAATAAACAAAACTGACAAGAATCCCTGCCCACGTGGAGCTTATATTGCAGGAAGGCAGAGGGGAGACCATGGTACATAACAAAAAAGTAAATTCCATAATACATTAGGAGGTGATTATGTATAATTAGAAAAAAATAAAGCAGGTGGGGGAACAATATATATATACATGAGACATAATAAGATATGGTGAAATCTGACTGTCCAAATGTGTTTATAATTTGGAAAAAGGATTTGCAGGATAATGTGATAGAAAGCTTCATGGAAAACATAGAAGGCTTTGTGGAAAAATAGATCTAGAATATAGTGAGTTCTTTCCAGTTCCAGCGCTGCCACTTCATCCAGACCATCAGGCCCTTCATCCTCTTCCTTCCTTGCTACCCTCGCAATCTGTTTTCTCAGCAACTGCCAAAGTACTAAGTAATTCAAGTTAAACGACTCCCCTGCCCAGAGCCGTCTCATGGTTTCTCAGGTTACTCATAATAAAACCTGAAGTCCTTAACAATAGTCTGCAAGGTTCTTTGTGGTCTGGCTCTTGCCTTCCACTGTAATGGCATTTCCGACTTGAATGTTCTTATACGCTGCTCTCTCTTTACACTGGCCTCACTGCTGTTCCTCACATACTCCACACGGACCCTCATCACAATCTTCATAATCTTCATAATCACCGTTTCCTCCGCCTTGAAGATGTGTCTCCGGTATTTCCTTGGCTTACTCTCATTACCTTCAGATCTCTGCTCAAACTTCACCTCCTTACAGAGAGACCTTTCATAAAAACCCAGAAGTGTTCTTCTGAGCACATCCCATCACTCGCAGCTTCTTTTCTCTATTTCTATCCATAGCATTTTTCTACCTGACATATTTATGTACCACTTTGCTAATTAGCTACTGGAAAGTAAGCTCCATGAGATCAGGAAGGATTTTGTATTATTCCCCACTGTATGTCCTCTTCTAAAATATTTCCCAGGGGCGCCTGGGTGGCTCAGTGGGTTAAACCTCTGCCTTTGGCTCGGGTCATGATCTCAGGGTCCTGGGATCGAGCCGCACATCGGGCTCTCTGCTCAGCGGGGAGCCTGCTTCTCCCCCTCTCTCTGCCTGTCTCTCTACTTGTGATCTCTCTCTCTGTGTCAAATAAATAAAATCTTTAAAAAAAAAAAATAGTTCCCAGAATATAGGCAAGGCTTACTGAATATTCATTGGATAAATAAATAAATTAAAATATAGTCATAAACATTTTTTCTCTCCATAGATTTATGTAGAATTGAAAGAGGTCTAGTGATGATGATCAGCAACAATATTTTCAGTGAACATCTAGGACTGCACTGGGTGTTTGTTTTTTAGAGTGTATCTTATTTATCTATTATTATCTATTTATTTTAGTTTCATGGGTAGAATTGTGATTCATGTATGCATACAACACCCAGTGCTCATTACATCATGTGCCCTCCTTAATACCCATCACCCAGCTATCCTTTCCCCCCAGCCCCTTCCCTCCAGCAAATCTGTTCGTTTCCTATTGTGAAGAGTCTCTTATGGTTTGTCTCCTCTCTGATTTTGTTCTGTTTTATGCTTCTCTGTTTTGTTTCTTAAATTTCACATATGAATGACATCATGTGATAGTTGTCTTCTTCTGACTGATTTATTTTGCTTAGCATAATACTCACTAGTTCTAACCATGTTGCTGCAAATGGCAAGATTTCATTCTTTTGATGGTTATGTACTATTCCATTGTTTGTATGTGTATATCTATATCTGTATCTATCTATCTACATATCACGTCTTCTTTATCCATTCAGTTGTCGATGGACATCTGCACTCTTTCTATAGTTTGGCTGTTGTTGACATTGCTGCTATAAATATTGGGGTGCAGGTGCCCCTTTGAATTACTATTTGTATCCTTCAGATAAACACCTAGTTGAACTGGGTATATTAGAGGTCCTCTCCTGCCTCCTTTTCCCTCCCATGCACACCCACTGCCTTTAGGATCAAACCTAAGCTCCTTGGTCTGGCATTCAAGGCCTTCTAAGGTCTTGTCTAAGTTGACCTTTCCAGCTCCACTTCTCCGCCAAGCCCTCACCTTCACGGCCCATGCTGCAGTCCTAAGGAGTGACTTACAATTCCCCTCAGTGCCCCTTGCAGATGTCTCTTGCAGCATCTCTCAGATTTTGCTGCTTGTATTTGATGGGTGTCTCTTCACATCGCATAAGCTCTTCAGAGTAGGGGATCTGGCATATTTTCATATTTTGAGGACTTGGCACAGTTCCTGGCAGAGCATAGGTGGTCAGGAAATCCTTATTGAAAGCCAAAGATGGTTTTGCCTCCAAGACAGAGACTAGCAGGAACTTGAAGAGGTTGGGAATGGAAAAAATAAATTGATGAAAGCAGTTTCGTCTCATCAGAGGGTTTGTTTGGGGACAAATGGGATTGAAGAGAACGCAATATTAGAAAACTTTAATTTTTAGCACAGTATTAGAATACTCTAGTTTGGGTGAGGAGAGATGGCATATAATATGATTGAATTGGTTTCCTCAGCTAGAAGAAAACAGCTTACATGAGAGGAAGGGTTATTTGACATGTGTTGTTTGGAAACAAGTACAGCCATCTGTCAGTGGTCTGACTGTAGGCCTGTCAGCCCTATTATTCAGTCTGTAAGAATCATGCCAAATAGTGACCCTGCTCTTCCTGGGGACAAAATATGAGGAGGAGAATTCAGGGGCAGTAGTGGTGCATTCATGTCCTTGCTCATCCTGTCTCAGTCCTAGTAACTATGAGTGCTGAGGGTTAGGTTAGACTCAACCTGATGTTGGTTCAGTGGGAAAGAAGGCTATGAATATCTGCTTGCATCTGGCAAGGGTGTGAGGGAGGGAAATGGCTGTATTTGTTTTATACATTTGTCATCCCTAGTTGATGGTTTGTATTTTCTGTGCTGATTCAGTGGATCTGTAATCAGTTGGCCCAGCATAGTTGAATATGTGGACACATTTTGTATAATCTTAATAATATGTATTTTGAAAAATGTAAACATAATAGAGTCAAGGAGGCTATTGGTTTTAAAAGATTAAAAATTTTTTGGGGCACCTGGGTGGCTCAGTGGTTAAGCCTCTGCCTTCGGCTCGGGTCATGATCTCAGGGTCCTGGGATCGAGTCCCGCATCGGGCTCTCTGCTCTGCAGGGAGCCTGCTTCCTCCTCTCTCTCTCTCTGCTTGCCTCTCTGCCCACTTGTGATCTCTCTCTGTCAAATTAAAAAAAAAAAAAAAAGATTAAAAATTTTTTTCTCAAAAGGTTTGTTACAGAAAGAGAAAATGGCTATTGAAGCATTTCAGGTTTGCTGCCTTCTCCTGCCACCTGAAAATAGAAGAAAGTTACAGCTCTTGATGAGGATGATGGCAAGGATCTGCCTAAATAAGGAGATGCCACCCCTATGTGATGGCTTTGGGACCCGAACACTGGTAGGTTGATCTCTAACATCTAACTTGACTTGAGTTTTTGGAATACAGTTCAACTAAATAAAGTTTACTAGCTTGGCAACCCAAGGAAGGCGCCAAGGTAGGCTTGCTCAAAGAGCCACAGCTTGGAAACCGCACAGGCGGGATCACACTTCCAGTGTTGGTGTATTAAAGAACATAATGGAAAGCGAAGTGAGTAGGGATAGAATCTGAATGTAGAGGTATCTGTGGTCTCCTGCCTACTGTCAACATAAACGGAAGGAAGGGAGGACAATAAGGATAAGGGTCCTTTCAAGAAAAAGACATACTTTCCTCCAAGACAGAAAGGGTTGTGAAGCATTTGTTATTATAACAAGTAGGAGAGGGGCAGCACATATAATGGGGTAAAGAGGAAAGAAATAAAACATAGAGTTGGGCCAGACAGCCTGGGGGGAGACAGAGAATTTGTTCTCTTGGGGTATGATCTAAGGGTCTATGAGTAAGGATATTTCTTAACATATTTTCAATTTGGCTTAAAAACATATATGCTAGTTTTGAATTCTACTTTCTTGTGTCAGCATGTCTTTTAAAATAGGGCTCATGTTTAGAATTTCTTCTATGTAATTTTTTTTTTTTTAAGATTTTATTTATTTATTCAACAGAGATCACAAGTAGGCAGAGAGCTAGGCAGAGAGAGAGGGGGAAACAGGCTCCTTGCTGAGCAGAGAGCCTGATGTGGGGCTCGATCCCAGGACCCCGAGATCATGACCCGAGCCAAAGGCAGAGGCTTTAACCCACTGAGCCACCCAGGTGCTCCTTCTATGTAATTTCTTAATTTTCCTCAAAATTGGAGGTCTTGGAGAAAAACTCCTCACTGGGGTATACATACTTCCCATATGCTGGTGAACCACATTATACCCCTGGGGGTCCTCTGGCCCCATTTTAGAAGTGTTGAGTAAGAGTAAAGAAACACTCAGTGTCCAGTAGAGTCAATCTTGCTTGACCTTCCTTTTGGTTGAGTAGATGGATAATGGGGCTAATGGACCCTTCTGAAAAGCTGAAAAAAACTTTGTACCTATTCCCCAGAAGAATGCACATGGAAAATTTTGCATAGAATTTTAGGGCATTAAGGTTCCCCAGTGTCCATAACCTCCAGGTAAAAAATGTCTGTGTGTCTCTATACACATAAGTGTGAGGGTAGATAAAGTATCATCTGCAGTATGTTGATGACATGCAGTCTTATTAAACAAAATTATGTCATTTCATGCTTATAGGTTTTGAAACAAAATTGTCCACAGTAAAATTAGTAGAAAAGGGGGGGGGGAAATCCTTCCAAATCATAGTTAATATGAATTCTATGGAAGCAACTACATAATATTTTTTATATTTCTGTCTGTTGTAAAGAGTCTCATCACTTAATGCACTTGTTATAAAGTCTCATCATTTCATTCAAATGTGATGGTCAGTTATACACCCAAAATCCTAGAGAAACTAATAGTTAAGTAGGAAAAAATGTAACAGTTGAGGCACATAGGTTGTGCTAGCATATTTCCAAAATTCAAAATGAAATAAGGATATTAGTAAACAAAATGGCTTTAAAGTGCTACATAATTCAAGTGATGGTGGTGATCATAATTTTTCAGAATTTGTTTATATATATTTAAAACTGTCTGTAAAGAGGTGTGCTTTAAAAGCTGCTCAGACAAGCAGTCTCTGCTTAGTCTCTGCTGAGTCTCTGTGAGATGAGATGCACCTTCTGTTCACACTGGTTGATAAGAAGATCAGCCCATTGAGATGACCAGGTGTGGCTAGGTGCCAGATAGGATGTGTACCCTGGGCTGTGGGCCATTTCTCATTGACTGGTCACCTTTGGTTTTTGCAGATTTATTAAATGCAGTTCAGCATAGGAAAAACAACAACAACAAACCTCATCTGTGTTTATTTAAAAAATATCTCCCCCTCTTTTTTCAGATGGTTCAGACATTTTCCCGTTGCATCTTGTGTTCCAAGGATGAAGTAGATTTGGATGAGTTATTAGCTGCTAGGTTGGTGACATTTCTGATGGACAATTACCAAGAGATTCTGAAAGTCCCTTCGGCCTTGCAGACCTCCATAGAGGAGCGTGTGGCTCATCTACGAAGGGTCCAGGTAAAGGAAGGGGTATTAACAGTCCTTTAAAATTGCCAGCAGAAAGTCCTGTAAACTTGCTAGGCCTCTTGGGATTTCTAAATATGAAGAATTAAGTGAATAAATGTGTACAAATTGCTTCCAATGGGGCTTGGTACATGGTGGCCACCATGTGCGTTTAAAAATTTGGAAAATTTTTGAAATGTTTACTAGTTTTATTATGTTGGTCAGTGCTCCATACTTCTGATTGCAAATTCCTTAAATGATAACCTGTTTGGATTTTCGTTTCCAAAGGAGTTAAAATTGGCCTTACCTGTCCTATAAAACTTGTGAAGAGTAGAATGCTCTACTATAAAACCTCTAGCTTAGGGGTGCCTGGGTGGCTCAGTGGGTTAAAGCCTCTGCCTTCGGCTCAGGTCATGATCTCAGGGTTCTGAGATTGAGTCCCGCATCAGGTTCTCTGCTTCAGCAGGAAGCCTGCTTCCCTCTCTCTGTCTCTGTCTGTCTCTCTGCCTACTTGAGCTCTCTGTCTGTCAAATAAATAAATTTAAAAAAATCTTAAAAAAAAAATAAAACCTCTAGCTTAAATATCTGATGTACAGCAGGTCCTCTTTGAAATATAGCCTATTGTTATTTTTGTTGTTATTGTTATATTAAAGTGATACAAAAGAAATATAATACATGACTGTATATGGGCCCCAAAGTGAGGTGTGTATAAGTCTGTGGGTGCAGACACTTGATAAAGGCAGACAGAGGTCTGCTTGGCTCCTTCTGAATGAGTGGCCCTCTTTCTGCTTAAGTACTTTTTGAGGTTCCACAATTAAGGACCAGTGAAATGCTACCTCCTGAAGTATTATTAAAGTTGATAACTGTTCATGTTTTCAGTGTGCAATTTAAATTTTTAATAATTAAAAATTAAAATTTTAAAAATGAAACATTAAACTGTTCATGTTTCCAGTGTGCCTACGTGGCTTTGTTGGTTGAGTGTCTGACTCTTAATTTCAGCTCAGGTCATAATCTCAGGCTTGTGGGATTGAGCCCCCCTCTACCTTGAGCTCTGCACTCAGCTGGGATTCTGCTTCTCTCCTTCTCCTTCTGTCCCCCTACTGCCATGCTCTGTGTGTGTGTCTAAATTAAATAAATCTTTAAAAAAAAAAATTAAAAAATTAAAATAGTTTTGGTAATTATCAACCTTAAATATGTTGAAAGAATTGGGAAATAGAGAAAATGCACACCAAGGGCACCTGGGTGGCTCAGAGGTTTAAGCCTCTGCCTTAGGCTCAGGTCATGGTATCAGGGTCCTGAGATCGAGCCCCGCATCGGGCTCTCTGCTCAGCAGGGAGCCTGCTTCCCCCTTTCTCTGCCTACTTGTGATCTCTCTCTCTGTGTCAAATAAATAAATAAAATCTAGGGGCGCCTGGGTGGCTCAGTGGGTTAAAGCCTCTGCCTTCGGCCCAGGTCATGATCCCAGAGTCCTGGGATCGAGCCCCGCATCGGGCTCTCTGCTCAGCGGGGAGCCTGCTTCCCCCCCTCTCTCTGCCTGCCTCTCTGCCTGCTTGTGATCTCTGTCTGTCAAATAAATAAATAAAATCTTTAAAATAAATAAATAAATAAATAAATAAATAACTTAAAAAAAAAAAAAAAAAGAAAATGCACACCAAAAACTATAAGAGTAACATCCAATGTTCAGTTAGTATTACAGTATTTCAGGTGTTTATCTGTGCTTTGTCTTTTGTTTTCTTTTCTTTTCTTTTTTCTTGCTTTTTCTTTTTCTTTCTCTTCTTGTCCTCTTCTCCGTTCTCCTCTCCTCTCTTCACTTTTCCTTCCTTCCTTCCTTCCTGCCTCCCTCCCTATCTCTCGTTTGTGCCTTATTTTCTCTTGACAATACAAGAAATATTTCCTGTATCACTAAATATTCTTGACTGACCTCATGGTGGTTGAGAGCTTGGACCCTGGAGCTAAGCAGTGCTTGTATTCCTCATGTGCCATTTATTGGTCCTGTGACCTCAGGCACATTTTTTTTTTTTTCAGACACATTTTTTAATGTGTCTCTGCTTCAGCCTCTACCCAGTATCTCTCTCTTCTCATCTGTAAAATGGGATAATAACAGTTAATACCTACCTCCTAGGGATGTTTTAGGGGTTGAATGGCTTAAGATGTGTAAAGTGCTTAGAATGATATTTATTACATAGTAGCCCCTCAGTTGGTAGCTGCTGTGGTTAAGATTATTATCATTAGTGTTATATTATTCCACAATATTGTTATTATTGTTAGTATAGTATTCCATAACATGGATCTATACCATAATTTATTTAAATGGTTTTCTTTGGCTAATATTTAGGTGGTTTCCATTTTCCCCTCTATTTTGCAAATAATAAAATGGTAAACATTTTTGTAGCTAGATTTTTGGGGGGATGATCCATGATTATGTTCTAAGAATGAATTTTTAGGAGTGGCATTACACGGTCAAAGGCCAGGGATGTATTTTAAGTATTGATTGCGTATTGCCAAATTTCCCTTCAGAATGATTGTTCTGATTCATTTTCCCATGAGTAGTCTAAGAAACTTTGCATACTTCTTATTAATATATATATATCTTTGCCATTTTAATTAGTAAAAAGTGTAACCTTACTGCTGCTTTAGTTAAATCCCCCCCAATATGTTTATTACCCAAACTTTAAAAAAAAAAAAAGTAGAGAAGAAAAGAAACTGAATATCTGCAAAGAGAAGGGATGGCAATAGCGATGTTGCCCTGCCTACTGGCTCGGTTCACGGTTCCCAAAGCATAGACCATGCAGCACCTCCTAAGTGAACCCTTTGCTCTCTGCTGATGATCAGAAGGCTGAGCTCTGCTGATTCATTTAACAGCAGATTAGCATGATCTTGTGGAGGGGCACTGCCCTGGCACTAAGTGAAGCCAGTAACTGCTCATTTGTCCAATTACATTTGCTTTCTTGGAAGTACTCAGTGGAATCGCGGAACAGTTGTTTCATATTCAGAGATCCACTCTCTCACATGGCCTGCTCAGCCCTGACAGCATGGCATATCCAGGACAGGGCTTCTTGGAAAAGGAAGTGTTCGTTGGATTGTTCTGGAGGTTTTAGGCCTGACCCTGTGATAGGTAAATTTTGAGGTGGTCATTGTCTTTGACACCAACCTTCTGTTAGCCTTGACTGCAGCCCTCTTCTTCCTTTTGTCATTTAATCATGGGTATCTGGTATTTTTCTTACTAGGGTTCTGGCTGCAGAAGAACTATAGGTGTTATATTTTGGGGAAGACAGAACTCTTGGAGTCTGAACTTAAATACTTTTTATTTTCTTTGTTATTCATGTAACATTGACATACAATGTTATACTGGAAGTTTGTACCTCTGAATCCCCTTCATCAATTCGCTGATCCCCCCACCCCACCTCCATGCCCCCTTTTCTTTGGCAGCCAACAGTTTGTTCTCTGTATTTGAGAGTCTGTTCAGTTTTTTTGCTTGTTTTGTATTTCTGTGGTGGTGTTATTCCTCCTCCTTTATTTCTGATTTTATTTATTTGAGTCCTCTTTTTATGTTGTTAAGTCTGGCTTAAGGTTTATCAATTTTGTTTTTCTTTTCAAAGAGACTGTTCTTGGTTTCATTGATTTCCTTTTATTTTTTTATTTTTTAAAGATTTTATTTATTTATTTGACAGATCACAGGTAGGCAGAGAGACGGGGCGGGGGGGAGGGGAGAAGCAGGCTCCCTGCTGAGCAGAGAGCTCGATGTGGGGCTCGATCCCAGGACCCCAAGATCATGACCTGAGCCGAAGGCAGAGGCTTAACCCACTGAGCCACCCAGGCGCCCTTTGATTTTTTTTTTTTTTTTAACTCTCTTTTTCGTTTATTGCCACTCTATTCTTATTATTACCTTCCTTCTATTAGCTTTGGTCTTTGTCCTTTTTTCTTATTTCCTTTAAGTGTAAGGTTAGGGCATTTATTGTCATTTTTCTAGCTTCTTGAGATAGGTCTTCATCACTATAAACTTCCCTCTTTAAACTGCTTTTACTCTGTTCTGAAGATTGGGACCATTGTGTTTTCATTTAATTTGTCTCCATGTATTCTTTTATTCCCTCTTTGATTTCTTCACTGACCTATTGGTTATTTAGTAGCATATGTTTGTGTCTTTTCTAGGTAGGTTGGTTTGTTTGTAACTGATTTCTACTTTTACACTGTTTTGGTTAGAAAAGATGCTTGTTATTATTTTAGTCTTCTTAAATTTATTGAGATTTAAATTTATTGTGGCTTAACATGTGATCTATTCTGGAAGATGTTCCATGTGCACTTGAAAAGAGTGTGTATTATGCTGTATTTGAGTGGAAATTTCTGTATATATTTGTTAGGTCCACCTAATCTAATGTCTTGTTCAAAACCACTATTTCCTTGTTAATTTTCTGTCTGGATGCCTTCTCCATTGATGTAAGTGGGGTGTTAAAGACTCCTATTATGATTGTATTACCGTCAATTTCCCTCTTTATGTCTGTTAATATTTGCTTTGTTTATGTAGGTGTGAAATTAATATTTTTAATGGATGTTCATTTATTTATAAGTCTTAGCATCATCTTTCCTCTTTTTTCTCCATTTTCCCTTTTGCCCTGTACAGTGTTTGCACATTTGTTTTCTTGCTTTTTACTGTTGACGTATTTGGAGATGTTGTAGTACTTCTCCGTACATAACAGCCATACTACATGTGTGCCTCTATCCTTTCCCAAGGAAGGGAGGTCAGATCCTCCAGATGTGGGAAGGAACCTCCAGAGGAGGAGGTTCACTATTGTAATGAATTACTTTTGTCAACATGTTTAGTTTATGTTTCAATTTAAGATTTTATTTAAAAGAGCCCACCAGGTTTTCTGTTTATCAAAATGGTTCTTGGGTTAAAAAAGGTAAGAACTCTTATTTAAAACTGTGGCTTTAAGTGATTTTTTTCAAATTTATAGAAACACTTTTACTTTTTAATAAAGAGTTTTTCCAAACAAATTGAAGAATGACATGGCATTCCCAGGAGGAGATATGCTCTATTTGATCTGAACCAGAACTTATATGCAAATATACTTATGTCTTTCACTATTAATCCTTTTGCCTCAGATAAAATACCCAGGAGCTGATATGGATATCACTTTATCTGCCCCGTCATTTTGCCGTCAGATCAGTCCAGAGGAATTTGAATACCAGAGAGCATATGGCTCTCAGGAACCTCTGGCAGCTTTGTTGGAGGAAGTCATAACAGATGCAAAACTCTCCAGCAAAGAGAAGAAGAAAAAATTGAAGCAGGTGAAAAGAATGTTCTTCAGAAGCCATGTCTTCTTCCTACTAGTCTTAATATTGTTTTTTCTTTTTATTCTCTGCTTTAATGGGTTTCATGTGAATCTCATCTTCTGAGATGTAGCAGTTTTGAAAGTATATTATTCAAGTCATATACTCCAGAAGTCTCAAGGATGTACTCAGTTGTGATGAGTTTCCCACATCTTATTCTCCAGTGTAGATATTTTACCATTATTGAGCTCTTCATTTATGGAGCTGCTCTCTGTTATTTGTCCTTTGTTTGGGTATTTGGCACGATGTGAGTTAATGGAACAGTTACTTTAAATTCTGAGAAGCTACCAAATGAAGATAGATTCCTCTGATTTTTCCGAAAAGTAAGTTGTACTGAATTTGCAGATATAAGATGTGTAAAATTGAAGAGGCTTTGGTTTTAGATAGCCAGGATTTGGGGTTTAGTTCCTGCTAGGCTACACAGCTTTGGGTTTCATTGAAGAGCTGTTAGTTAAAAATAGATATACTTTGACCATTCTTAGAGTAGTGATTCAAGATTAAGGGAATGGTTTTTATTTTTCAAGACTGATTCCTGCAAGCTTGATTCCTGATCATACCATACATTTGGGATTATACACAGAGCACCAGAGTTCTAGACTCCCAATCATATTTTTCTCAGTAATTTTGGAGAAGAGTTCAGTGTTGGGGATCAAAGAAAAAGCATTATTGCCTCTCTTTAAGCTTTTATATATACTGGAACATTTTCCCTTCCATTTGAGCAGAAGCAGGTGGGGCTGAGTTGGAGAGGCAGGGAGATCGTGAAATGTAGTTGGGCCAAAATTTTCTTCACCCATATAGAACATAAGTTATTTTCAAGTCAGAATTACGTGTGACTATTTTTAAAGTGAAGTCTATTTATAGTTAGCAAGCAGAGGAAATTTTAAGAAATAGGACTGAAATGAGAAGTTTGTTTGAAGGTTGGATCAAATTAAAGTTGAATTAGATCTGTAGCAAGTGGAATTAAATGATCTCACAAAAAGAAATGGATTTGTGTTGGAGTGAATTTGATTATGATTTGTCATCATCTTATTCTCTTTCTGATGGAAAACAATAAACATTAAAACAAAATAAAGACAACCTCTTATGGAATCAGATCAGGAAGTCTTTAATTTTAAAATTAGATCACCTAATTTTATTGGTTCTTATCTGTTTTTTTACTCATCTTGAATTTTTTTTTTCAGTTTCAAAAATCCTATCCCGCAGTCTACCAAGAGCGATTTCCTACACCAGAAAGTGAAGCACTTCTGTTTCCTGAGAAACCGAAACCGAAACCGAAACCACAGCTGCTAATGTGGGCACTAAAAAACCCTTTCCAACCATTTCAAAGAACTAGAAGTTTTCGGATGTAGTAATTCCATAGCTGTTAGAGAGCTCTGTTGTTGCCTTGAGCAAATGGGTGGTTAGAGAAGGACTATGGTGGTGGAAGAAGGAAGAGCAGACAATAGAGACTACTGAAATCTAAAGTGACTGGACTTCCAAAAATTTTGAGCCATTATCAGTATTTTTGTAAAACTCAGTGCTATTTTTAAAGTGTAAAAATCAGTTAAAATTTAGACAAATATACAGTGGTAATGTTAATGTGTTTGTAATTGTTACAAAAGTTAAGGATTTTTATTTTTTTATTTGTTGTTTTTCATGGTGTTAATAAAATAATTATGTGTACATTTAGTTACTGATGTCTTTGTTATAACCAAGCCTTAAAAATAGTGTATATACTTGAGTAAGAAAGACCGTGGGGTACTGTTACTGTGATGCTGTTGATATCATAGCTTAATAGTTCTGATTTCTCTTTTGTAAAAATCTCATTTTCAATGTTGCACCAAGATTCTTAATGTCCAGTATTATGATGGCTGTGTCTTTCATTGAGGATTCATTGGATGTTATGGCAGATATAACTAAAGCTGGTTCTTTAATAACATATATATTAGGTGGTGTTTACCTCTAGGTGGAGAAGATGTTCATTTTCCTGCAGTGGTATAATTTCAGTCTTGGCTGAAAATGGAGAATTGAACTGAATAAACTTTTTTGGTCCTGCTTATACCAGTGATTGTAAGTCAGATCTCTGTTATTTCATGGAAAACACAAATGGATTAAGTAAAGTGAGACTACTTCCTTTATATTTCCCCCAACTCCCTTATCCTTTTGAAAATAAATGGACTGTAAATAAATACTGTATTTTGTTTCAACTTGGTTCTTTTCAACTTGGTTCTTTTATTTCTCCAAAAAGGGATTCTCTAGTATCATCCATGCTTTTTTCAAGCCCAGCTAACACCTTGATAATCGTCATTCTGAACTCCAGATCTGACATCTTACTAATGTTCATATTGATTAGGTCCCTAGCTGTCATTACTGGCTCTTGCTCTTCTTCTTCTTCTTCTTCTTTTTTTTTTTTTTTGAGGTGAGTTTTTCCGCCTAGTCATTGTATCCAGGTAAGAATAGAAGAATGAGAGAACAAAATACTAAAAGGGTAGCAACAACCCCAGAAAAATATATACTTAACCAAATTGGAAAAGACCCCAAATGGGGGGTGGGGGAGGGGGGAAGAAAGGAGAAAAAAAATTATATATATGTATGTATATATGTGTATGTATATGTACACACTTGATTTTGGGTGTATTTTGGTCTGTTAAAAGAAACTGCTTCCCAAAATTTTAAATAAAGAAAAACATATATAGGGGCGCCTGGGTGGCTCAGTGGGTTAAGCTGCTGCCTTCGGCTCAGGTCATGATCTCAGGGTCCTGGGATCGAGCCCTGCATCGGGCTCTCTGCTCGGCAAGGAGCCTGCTTCCTCCTCTCTCTCTGCCTGCCTCTCTGCCTGCTTGTGATCTCTGTCTGTCAAATAAATAAATTTAAAAAAATTATTTAAAAAAAAAGAAAAACATATATATACAAAAATAAGGGTAAACACGATGAAGGGATGGAATATGACTATAAAGGTGAACATTTTAAAAAGATTCTAAAAAAGGGATTGATAAGAAGTTGGTTGAAAAAAGAAAGCAAAAAAAAAAAAAAAAGGAAAAAATGTGATCAGGCTGGAGACTAGAACAAAGCCATGCATTAGATTTAGGGTATATTTTGATCTGTTAGAAGAATCTGTATCCCAAAATTTTAAAGAAAGAAAAATCTATATGTATATAAAAAATAAAGCTAAATATAATGAAGGGACAGACTATAACAATGAAAATTTAAAAAGATTTTTTAAAAGGTATTGATAGAATAAAATAGTTAAAAAAACATTAAAATAGGAAAGAGGAAAAATTTAGAAAGATAGAATAAGAAAAAAAATTTTTAATATTTACCTTTGAGGGGCATCTGGTGGCTCAGATTGAGCCCCACATTGGGCTCCCTGCTCCGTGAGAAGCCTGCTTCTCCCTCTCCCACTCCCCTTGCTTGTGTTCTCTTTCTCTGTCAAATAAATAAACAAAATCTTAAAAAAAAAAATTTAACTTTGAAAGACTAAAGGATCATGGGAAAAAAGCCATGAGTTCTCTATGTGTTGCTTTCCCCTCACTCTGAAGTTCTGCAGTTCTCATTGATCAGTACACTTGGTCTTGGCTGGATGTTCCTGCTCATCTTCTGCGGGAGGGGCCTGTTGCACTGATTCTCAAATGTCTTTGTCGGAGGCGGAATTGTGCCGCCCTTGCCAGGGGCCAGGGTAAGTTAGAGCTTTGGAGGACGGGAATGAAGATGGCGGCCTCCCAGTCTCCAGGCGGAGTAGCCTAGAGCTCGGGGCCCCACTCCTCAGTGCACCTTCAGAGAAAAGCAGTCAATCCCTCCCATCTCCCTGGTCTCTGGCTGCGCTCCCAGCTCACCCGGCTTGTGACCAAGAGTTTCTGTCTCTGGCACACGGCTCCATTTGGAGTCTCCAAACCCAGCAGATTCCTGCCTCCAGAGAAGGAAGCGGAGTCTCCCTGGATCTGCCACTTATGGGGTCCCTGCTCGAAGAACAGGGGTCCAACTGTGCCTCAGATCACAGTTTAAGGTAACCCCGAGCTGAGAGCTCACTCCTCAGCTCCATCTTTGTAGCCGGCTCTCCACTCTGATACCTGGGAACTCTACCACACTCAGGCACCCCTGGTCTTTTTGTGTCCTCGTGGGTCCCGAGACCACACTGTCCCCGCGAGAGCTCCACCCACACTTAGCTCTGGAGTGACGTTCCTCAGTGGAGCAGACTTCTAAAAGTTCCAATTTTGTGTTCCACTCTCTACTGCTTGCTGGGAGCTGGCCCCTCCCCCCACAGTCTATATTCCTGTATATCACCTCGGATTCATTTCTCCGCACGTCCTACCTTACAGAAAGTGGTTGCTTTTCTGTTCATAGAATTGCTGCTATCCTTCCCTTCTCTCTGCTCTTGAGTTTGTAGGTGTCCAGAATGGTTTGATAACTATCTAGCTGAACTCCTGGGACCTGATGGTTTCTCTGTCTCCTACTCTTCTGTTATCTTGCTCCTCCCTCTTGTTCTGCCCTTTGGACTGAATTTTCCTTGCCTTTTTGATCTGGCCCTGTTCTTTTGTAGCAGAATGCCTCCTATATTTGACTCTGATTTTGTTTACTTAAAAATGGATAAAAGTGGGGCACCTGGGTGGCTCAGTGGGTTAAAGCCTCTGCCTTCGGCTCAGGTCATGATCCCAGGGTTCTGGGATTGAGCCCTGCCTCGGGCTCTCTGCTCAGTTGGGAGCCTGCTTCCCCCTCTCTCTGCCTACCTGTGATCTCTCTCTGTCAAATAAATAAATGAAATCTTTAAAAAAAAGAAAGTTAAAAAAATGGATAAAAGTATTCCTATTGATATGGGTGCCACCTTTCCTTACAAATATGTAAAGTAATAGGAGATGTTTAGTGTCTCAAGATTTGTTTTCAGACTTTGGAATAATGTTTAGAGGAAAGAATAAGTCTACTGCTCTCTTTGCCCTTTAACGTAGAGTGTGCTTTCCACAATCTCCTTTCCTATTGAATATCTTTAGAAATATATGACCATTTTTTTTTAAAGATACACTAAAAAAAAAAAAAAAGATTATTTATTTTAGAAAGAGCGTGGGGTGGGGAGGGACAGAGGGAGAGGGAGAGAGAAAATCTCCAGCAGACTCCTGGCTGTGTGAGGAGCCTGATGTGGGGCCTGATCCCACTACCCTGAGATCATAGCCTGAGCTGAAATTAAGAATCAGACTCTTGCTCATATATAGCATAAAACTGATTTTTATATCCAACCTCCGTGATAGACTTTTCTATTAATTCTAAGCATCTAGTGTGATCTTTTTGGATTTGCTATGTTCACTACATTCACTACATAATAAGCAAACAATGACAGTTTTTTGTTTTTCATTACTGTGGTTGACATCATTTAAAATGTCCCCTGTGATCCTCTTGGTATTTGTCCCAATGTATAATCTTTCCTTGAGTGTAAGTTGGATCTAGTGATATATTTGTAACAAACAGAATATGGCAAAAGTGATAGGATATCTCTTTTGAGATTAGATCACAAAAAAGCTCTGGTTTCCATCTTGCTTGCCCTCTCCCTTAATCTCTCCCAGGCCTGCTCTGAGGAAAGCCAGCCTCCCTGTGTGAGCTGCCCTACGGAGAGGCCCATCAGGCAAGGAACTCCTGTCTCTGCCCACTAGCTAGTGAGGACATGAGGCCTACCAACCACTGGATGAATGATCTTGAAAGTGGATATTCTGAGGCTTGCCAACAGCCATGTGAGTGATCTTGGAAGAACGTTCTCTCAGACAAGCCTTGAGGTGAAGGCCACCTTAGCTGACACCTTGACGGCACCCTGGGACAGGCTCTGAGCTAAAGGACTCTGCTAAGCTCTTCCTGGATTCCAGACCCGTAGAAACTGTGAGGTAATAAATATTTGTTGTTTCTAACCACTTAACTTTGGGGTAATTTGTTGTGATGTGATAGATACAATACACCTAATTCTGATTTCCTCCTTCCTTCCTCCTTCCCTTTGTCCTTTTCTTCCTTCCCTCCTTCATTTTTTAAAATTATAAAATGTCACAATCTCTGGTAATGCATTTGTTTGCAGCCTTTTCATATTTTTATATATTAGTTGTAGCCCTTGTAAACAGCATATGGTGGGATTTTTTTTTTTTTTTAAGATCCCAGCGTGACAATTTTTGTTTCTAACTGTAACATTTAAACAAATTGTATTTAATATAATTACTCTCTATTTGGGTACCAATGTTTATTGATGCTTTATAGCTCTTTGTCTCCACTTTCTTGACTTTGAATTTTACAAATCATTTCATGTTTTCTCCTACTAATTTGCAACTAAACACTTTCTAATCTTGTTGGGTCCTTGAAAATTACATCTTATATACTAATTTATCAAAGCTTTAAGTTAGTTAATATTGTTTACCCTCCTCTCAGACTGTTCAGGGTCTTAAAGCACTAATAACACCCTCCCAAAACAGATAGTATTCTGTAATATATTTTAATTTTATTGTTTTTAAACCTCATACTATGTTGTTTTTATATGTAGTCCTTGTTTTAGACATACCCTATTTTACCACCTTTTTCCTTCTTTTGAGAGTACATTCTTTCTTTAGAATTTATCTTCAGTATATGTTGTTTTTGTCTGAAAACTTTTTAATTTTGCCCTTACTCTTTTTTTTGAATAGCTTTATTGAAATGTAATTCACATGATATACAATTAACCTATTTAAAGTGTATAATTCAGTGGGTTTTGGTAAGTTATAATTTTAATTTTTTAAGTTGTGATTAAATATATGTAACAAAATTTGCATTTTAATCATTTTTGAGTATATAATTATAAAGAATGCTCTCATTCTTTGAGGATATTTCTGCTATTTATAGAATTCCAAGTTGAGGGTTGTTGTATTTCAGTACATTGTAGTTATTCCTTTGTTAGCTGGCTTCCATTGTTACTGAAAAGTCAATCGCGCTCTTCGTAGATACAATGTCATGTTTTGGCAGAGTTCTTTTTAAAATTTTGTCTTTGTCTTTGGTGGTCTGCAGTTTATAGTAACATACTTAGTTTATATAATATACTCTTTAAATGATCATTCTGCTTGGTATTTGTGGGGGTTCTTAAATAAGAGGATCAAGGTCTTTCACCATTTATTTATTTTTTTTTAATGAGTTATTTATTTATTTATTTTAGAGAGAAAGAGT